TCTGCTAGAGGCAGTTCTACAAGCTACTGAATCATGGAAGGCACTTACGGATTGCATAGAGTCCTGTGAATATTGAATTAAAAGGTCAACAGTGCAAAGCAACTGCACTAATATTTTTTTTTTTTTTTTGTGAAATAAATGGTGGCTGCAGGAAGCAAGATATTTAGTGAACTTTTCCAATTTCTTTTAGTACACTTAGCCATAGTAAGAAGTTTTAAAACAAAAAAAAAAATCAAAATGTTAGAAGCAGTTTTACAAACAGAACCAACATGCTGCAGATACTACAGAATCAACAGCATTCTGACTTAAAAAACAAACCAACAAAAGCATTTCTTATTGTGATTTAAGCACTTTGGGCTTTAACTAATTAAACTGAACTCTAAGTTTAGCATCTACCAACAAATGCCACTATAGTGAATACAGCACAAATTAATGGTAAAACTTTGTGTGTGCAGGAGAAATATCTATGATCTAAATAAACATCCAATTGCACATTAAAATTATGAAAATATCATCCTTGTTATTGAAAACGTAGCAGAAAGTAATAATGTGACCTTAATAAAAAGTTTTTCTGATTTCCCAAGCATGTCTTATTATCAACTGTGTGGACACCATCTAAGCATAATAATGGCATATTTGTGTCTGAACTACTGGCTGAAGACCAATCCAAAACTATATGACCATGGAGGGCAGTAAAACACCAGAATCTGCAGCTCTCCAGCAGCTCTCTGTATACACATATATACACGCACACACACACACACACACACACACACACACACACATATATATATATATATATATATATATACACACACACACACACACACACACACACACACACACGTATATATATATGTGTGTATATATATTAAAAAAAAATCCCCACAGGGGCGGTCAATCCTTCAAGCTTGGGTCCTCTACCAGAGGCCTGGGAGCTTGAGAGTCCTGCGCAGTATCTTAGCTGTTCCTAGGACTGCACTCTTCTGGACAGAGATCTCCGCTGTTGTTCCCGGGATCTGCTGGAGCCACTCGCCTGGCTTGGGAGCACAGAGCCAGCCACAAACAAGCGGCATCAGTATTAGTGTGCTTCATAAAATGCACACTAATAATATAATTGGCACTGTTCCTCATTTGCATGACATAAATACAAAATAGTGTGGACTCTAAACCAGCTTTCATGAGCAGTTTTACTGTATTTGAAAGCAAATATTGCCAAAAGCACTCCCCTCAGCATCAGCACAATATAAAACCCTCCTCAAGGAACTATTAGATCAATGAGGCAAAACTCTCAATCAAATGTTGATTGAGGGAGGTAGCTGAATCCGCAGGATTTTTTGCTATTTAGCAAATTGGTGAATTTCAGGCCTTGCTTATTGGCTTTATTGTCCTCCATTTATTAGAAAATAATTCATATTTTAATGTGTGGCAACATTTATTTGGTTTCATTTCCCTTGATGCAGCTGTCAGCGATGTGAAGCAGTTGTAGAGAGTACCACTCAACTCATTCTTTATTATGAGTAACTGAGTACTGGCATAGCTGAATTCTCTTTTAACCTTTGTGGAAATTCACATCTAGGATGCTGAAAGAGCTACAAAGAAAGACACAGTAGAGTTAGAAAATATGGTTACACAATACATTATGACACAAGAGAAATGTTGCTTAGACCTCAGGGGAGGGTTGATTCAATACTTCTTTGTCTAGCTTGTATACAGCATAGGGGAAATGTTCGGTCATCACTACACGATTGATGGTTTGCTTCACTTTATCAAGTATGTATTGTTGTGACTTCATATGACCAGAGCAATAAGGATGGATCTGAGTACTGTGTTTGCTGTATGTCCAGTAAAGGAAGGCTCAAAGAGACCATTATTTGGAGTTGAAAGAGTTGGAGGTTTATTTGGTGGTTATTAGCAAGATAAGTCATGTTATATTGGTTTCAAGCTGTCTTGTTAATCATGCATAATCCAGATTAAGCAAACAGCTTCACATTTGCATATGAAAGGCTGAATCCTGTAAGCAGTGTAAAAAACATGGGTATTTAGCCAGACATACACTCTGTTT